AAATTGTATTTTTTCTAAACTCATAGGTCCCATTGAAACTTAGCCAAAACAAACCAGTTCAGGTTGATTGACCCCAGCACGGTTGTAACCAAGTAATCACTATTAAATGTCTTTTTGTTTTTCTGATTTTAACAGGGTAGGACATAAAAAAAATGTTTAATGTAAGTAATTATAATTAAATAGATGCTAAATACTGAAAAATATATTTTTTTCAGTGGCCCCTTGCTCTTTTTAATCACAATTCCACATTCTTTACTAAGAGTTATTTTTTATATGGGGGAACAGACACAGCTCCATGAGAATAGTTAAACTGATCAAAGCTGCACGAAAACCTTCAGCCAATACCTCAGTCACAAGGTATTGTTGCTTTATAGGAACAAGCTTGATGAGGGATCAGCAGGAGATGAGACTAGACTGAAGTGGCTGTTGCCTTATAATCTTTGCCATTGTTGACACTTGGATATTATAATAAAGACGTAAAGTGCAAGAGCCACTTGAGACTGCCTTTGGTCTCTTCAGTGTAACTGATTTGGTAACAAGGTAGTTAAAGATAGCCTATAACTGTTTGGTTGTTGTCTCAAGAGAGGTCCCTCTAATGAGCATCCCCCATCTTCCCTGTTGTGCTATCCTCTGCTTGTTCAGAGACTGAAGGGGTCTCATTTGAAAAGGAACCTATTGATTAACTGAAATGTGCTCTGCAGCCTCCATTCTTGTGGTTAGTTTCAAGTTTTGCTTAGTTATGATCACGGTTTCATTGTGTTCCTACCATGGGCCTCTGAGCTGCTCTCATTGGCTCACAGAGGAGAACCAGATTGGTGTTGGCGTTGTAAAATGGCCAGTAGCACAATTTGTTCGCAAACAGGCATTACATATTAAATTATCACTATATTAGCACTAGAATTCAGTCATTACATTAGAGAGTATTGAGTTTGGTTTGAGACAGCACTTAGGGAGAGCCTGCAGGAAATTCTGGCAAGGCTGGGCCTGAACCCATTGAATAAACGTTCCATGAAATGGTTCTGAAGTGAGGATCAATCAATATGGGGGGGCTATCAATCTGGGGGCAAATTAAAACAATTGAGAGAAAAAAATTGAGAAAACAAAAAGAGGAAAACAGTCAAGTAGGAAACTGGAAGACAGAGGTACATGGCTGCATCTAAGTGAGGAGAAATGTTTCTGATTTTAGACTTTTCTTAAACAAAGGATAAACACTAGCAAATACGCAAAACAGATATGCATGTGCACACTCACATTGATCCTTATCTCACATTCAGATCGTTTTACAGCCATTGCCTTTACCTGCTGTAAAGTCATCAATCATTTGCATGTACTCCAGCTGCACACTGCATCCAGCCCCACTGCTTTCCCCTTTAATCTTCTCCTCATTTCCTCTGGTCCTCGTATGCACACAGGCATCTTAGCCTGGGATCCTCCCTGATCCTCTTAGTCTTAACTCTGTCTCCTAAGAACATTTCATATCTTTTTTTTATTTTATTTTAATAACCAGTGACTCGTTTGAGAGCTCACAGACTGGATGGCTGCCACTCTTTTCCCGCCTCACCTCCTTTGTTCCTCCACAGATAAACAATTTCTTCTCATCTGTCTGTCACAAAGGCGCGCCCACGCACGCGCCCCCACCTATACACTCACACACAAACCATCACACTTTCATGCACCTCGCTCGAGGAGATCGATGCGGATCGATCGGGTGGGGAAGGGAGCCCTGATTACTGGACCACGTGTTCAGGAGAAAACCGCGGAAAATCGATCATTGCAGCTTTTTAGGGCAGCAGAACAGAACAGACTCCCTCCAGTCTCCACAGCCAGAGCCGAGCCCCGCACTACTGACGGTGCATCCAGGCAGCGCGGCAATCCGCTTCTCTTTGTCAGCATTTCACATCACGCTCCTCCGGTTTCAGCAAGACGCACACACGCACAGCCACACCGACCCACGATCAAAACACTCCAGACAAATCCATAACCTCCTTCTTTAAAGACAGGCTTTGCCTTATTTTGGGTGGCAGAAATCACATTTAACTAACTTGTTGTAAATAGATCTCAACCTCAGACTACTTGTTAATAAAAAAAAAAAAAAAAAACTGCTACATTTTATTTATCATTTATACATTACTAAATGTATTTTTTAAATCTCCTGCTTGCAATGCCTATAAAAAAAAAAAATCCAAAATCTTCACCCAACACCACTTGAATTTATTGCCTTTCTTTTGATTTCCAAATTTAAACTGGGCCATTTGAACCACTAAACAACATTCTAGTCATGTTCTTCCTTTTTATTGGCTTTAATGTTTCTAATGTTGATGCATGCTTAGCATAACAGATACAAAAATATGCAGATTTCCTTCTGAATACACCATCTCTGCATGGTGTTAAAAGACTTAAGTTTGCAGCCATTTATGAGATTGTGACATGATGAGTATGCATGTTGTTAAAGAAGTTGTTACAGAGTATTATGCCAAAGCATTTTGAGAGAAAATTAAGAGAAAGAAAAAAGAAGAAAAGAAAAGAAAAAAAAACATACCCGTTCAAGAATTTGAGCCTTGAATTTGACAATTTTGACATTTGCTCTCCTATTAAAGGAGAATTTCTTGAATGTTCATGGAACTGACACCTAAAGGAGTGGAGGATGTGTCGGTTGAGTGGTATTATAATGTAAATTGTGTTATTTTCCCCAAAACATGTACAATTATTTAATTGAACCCTCTAGGACTTTCAGTCCTAGAACCAGACTGTACTTTGATGTAGCTTAAGATTGAGTATTTCGTAAGGATAGGCCAAATACCTTTTTATTATTATTATTATTATTTTTTTTTTTACAAGTTTTAGAAAATAAACAGATAGTTATTGGCAATGATACTCCATGTTCTGGGGAATTGATCAATAAAGTTTCTTAACTTGATGCAAAAGATGCATGAATGATTTCTTTCAGTAAGTTCTGTTAAAATGATAGAAACTAAGTTTAAGGAAAGGGAACAATAATTTCTGAATAAGTTTCATTTAAAGGCGCAACGTGTAGTTTTGGCCACTAGGGGCGCTAGACTGGTAACTTTCACGTCTAGCCCCCCTAGCTTTTGTTTGTAGTCTGCTAACTTTCTCTGTCAGTATTTTGCTTCTTTTAAACATTGAAAATATTAACAAAAATATATGGCTGTATATCAGGAGCTAAGTGTTAAATTACCAGTCTAATAATAAAGTTGAGAAATGAGAATCGGTTTTACATCTGGCTTCTTTTCAGCCTGCGCCAACGCCAACTCCTTTCCATGATCCACTCTTCTTTTTCTTCACGCACAGACCCTGTCACATTTTCTCTTTTTAGCCTCCTCAGCAGGGGCGGAGCTAGATGGGGGGCCAGGGGTGGCCATGGCCACCCTTAGCCAATCATTTTCCCCTGACCATTTTTCCCTCTAATACAGACGGTGGCATCAATAATACTCTGAAGGGGAATGTTTAAACATATTAAACATTTAAATTTTTCATATATTAACAACTACTTGACAACAGAAACATTGCGGTTAATTATGCACATAAATATACAAACATTAAAGATGATAGATACAGAATTCATGCTCTTTTCAGAACTAAATTTTGAAATATTTGGGATAAAGAGAAAAATATGTGCCTCTGCAAGTCATCTAGGAGTCTTTAATGAAATCATAGTTAAATAACTACTTTAATAATAACAACATCAAATTCCTTAAATTAGGATAATAGAAGATTTAAATATAATTTTGTAGAAGAATGATTATTGATAAAAGTAGGTAATGACAATTGAAATATGTTCGCCCAAGAACTTAAACCTGAAAGAATTTTGTCCACTATACCTTTTATTTACACAGCATGGATGTTTAAATATATGCGTCTATTTGTTAGCAAAGGCTGCAGGAAAGTTTAGTTTGTCTTTATTTAGAAAATATAGATGTTGTGCTTGTTCCTGTTGGAACAGTGTAGATTGACCCTGAGGTTCTGATGCCTTTCGGCCACCCCTCAATGTTCATTGGTTTTTGACTGGGCCCCCCTATTAGGATTTTCTGTCTACGCCTCTGCTCCTCAGAAGGTTTAAACCTTTTCCTTGCCTCAGCCATGACCCGGAGTCAATCCAGCAGAAAAAACAGTAGAGCAAAAGCCTTAGCTCCATGAATATATAAGAGCCTGGGGCCATGAAGCTATATGTTCTTCCAGGTCATATGAGCTGGCCATATGAGTTAGGAGCCCGGCTCATAGCATTGATAGTGTCGAGCGCTGTACAATAAAAAAAAAAAAAAAAAAGATGCAACCACTTTTGGTATTTACTTAATTATATTTGGTTACTTTAACACAATTTTTTATGTTCCACCCTGCTAACATGAAACAATTGCGTTAAAGTAACTAAATATGATTAAATAAATTCCAAAAGTGGTTGCATTTTTTTTTTTTTCAGCGATATTGGGCTGAAGAATCATATAAAATAACTCTTATGCATCAACTTTTTAGGCCATAAAGTCCACAGTATGCCTTTAAATTCTATGTTAGAACCTGTTAAATCCTTATAAGCATTTAGTGAGTTCCAGAAAGTATCAGGTAAGTTCCAGGAAATTTGTGCCGACAGGTTACCTCTAAATTCTAAGAAAGTATGGGCTGTATTATGAAGGGTATATTTTTTAAATTGTCTACTTTCAGCCTTGCACTAAAGCTGTAAACATATTTATTACTTTTTTCATCAGATTTGACATTTTCTTTGCTATTATATACACTACATTAAAGTCTTAAGACTTAACTTTACTCTAATGTACACATGTTTACATCGTACATTGCATATATATCATATTTTTCTTTATATTGTTATATTGTGCACTGATATTGATGGCTTTTAATTCCATTGTACCACATATAATGACAATAAAGGCATTCTGAATCTGTTAATTCACTTTCTTTATGCACATACAAACCTATTAATGCACGTTGGTATCTCTTTTAACGTAATCTCTTTCCTTTTTTATATCTAGCATGTAAACGCAAGGAGGAAGACCGGGGACGGGAGCGCAGCCAGGTGCCAAAGAAGCAGCGGCTGGTCTTCACAGACCTGCAGCGTCGCACCCTTGTGGCCATCTTTAGAGAGAACCGTCGCCCCTCCAAAGAGATGCAGCTCACCATCTCTCAGCAGCTGGGCTTGGAGCTCTCCACCGTCTCCAACTTCTTCATGAACTCACGGCGCCGCTGTCCGGAGCGCTGGGACCCAGAGGAGCACAGTCATGGTGTGCACAGCCATGGCCATGTCCATGCTCCCCACGGAAACAGCAGCAGCACCAATAGCGCATCCCCAATCCAGCCTGGCACCTCGTCTGCAAACACGTTCTCCAAAGCCTGATGGCTAAAGAGGGATAATTTGATTTTTCTTTTTTTCCCCCTAATTTATAAACCAGTGTTTAAAAACTGCTGTTCTGTAGAGTTCTTTGAGTGTGCAGGTTCAGCACTCTTCCTTGGATCTCATTTGCTCCTCTTGTACCAATGAATGGAATGTATTATGTGTTTTCTTTTACATTTGAACATCCTTTCCAAATGGGCTGACTTGCATTTTGAAATAAGTCTCCTTAAAACCAAAGAATATGTAGCTTTAAACTTTCCAAATGAAAACCGCTTTAAACTTTCCAAATGAAAACCAAAGAAAATCAATCTGCACTGAATTGAAGGTTTGTGTTGGAGCATTAAAATAGGAAGAAAATATATGCTCTGTCATAGAAGGCTTTGGCTGCAGCACAGTTTCCAAAGATTGCCCCTCACCCACTCCATATCCCTTTCTATTCCACCCAATTCAGGTAGTGGTTAATATATCCCCTGGTGAAATGGGAGACTTCTTCAAGAGGCTAATGCATCATCCTTTTCTACTGATGCCTAATATAGAAACATACCCGATATAGCTGTGCTTATTGTGTAAACAGCTAAAGAAAGTAACATGCATTACTCTCCAGGCTTTTTGGTGGAGAGATAATTATAATGCCCTGTTGAAAAATAAATCTAAATGGGTTTTGATTAGGTATTGCAAACAAAAATCTGCCTACTTTATAGAAACAATGTCCAAACAAGCACCATAGTGTAGCTTTCACACACACTTTGATGGTGAAATCATATTATTACAGCTCTTGTCAACAAACCCTTTGATACTATTTGAATGTTTGCTTCCAAGTGCTCATTGTGCGGCTATGCTGCCATATGAGAGGTTATATTCAGGTTACCAAAAGGAGAACAATCAAAGTGGGACGGCACTCCACACAACCCAAAAAAAGGTGTCCTCCCTATAGTGTAGTGGGGCGAAGGAGGGACGGAGGGCGGGTCTGCTCTGTTCTAGTGGCCAAACACAGAGGTCAAATGTCACAATACAGGATTCAGAGTGCCAATGATGTTTGCCTCTTTCATGATAATCAGAGAACAGTTGCAGCTCTGCTCCGTCGCCATCTTTTCTGCTTCTTTTCATCACAACTTTCAATTTGCGAGCACTAATACAGGCCCGATGCCAGCTCCGTACCTCAGAAAAACACAGATGAACATGAAAAACTGTAAATAATCTTTAATTTCATCCTCTTCTCTGTATTATCTATTCCCTATTTATCTACTCTACTTCTACCCCCCCCTTTGCTGTGTCTTTTGTTCAAGTTTTCCCCTCTTCCTCAAATACTGATGCGGGTAAAATTAGTACTATAGACACACTCTTGTGGCTATTGTACTATGTTGTGCTGAAATTATATGTATAGAAGCACTTTCTTGATAATATGTAAAAAAAAAAATGTTTAGATTAGGAAACAAGACAAATCAACATGTCACAAACTGATGCTATGCACAGACAAGGAAGGGATATCACAAGTGGAAAGACTGTGCATATCTGTGAATACGTGTGGAATCAATGGACTCTCTGGATGTGAAGGACCTCTTCCTTGATCTCTAATCTTCTTTGAACTGGACTGTCGCTGCATTCCTCTGCTGTTGATGTTCTTTGGCTCATTTTTTAAGTGTCTTTTTACATTTTTATGTGGGCAAAGCCACTTGTTGTGTAGCATCTTCAAGCGGGAGATAATCATACAAAGGAGGAGGTTCAGAGAGGGGGACCGCGGGTGTGGCAGTGGAGGCAGCAAGGATCTCAGAACATCTGTGAGGATTAAAGGATATATTTAGATCATATTCCTACATTATCTGTTGTGTTTTTTCTACAGATTTGCAGAGCTTGTTAGTGCAGGCGTTTTTTTTTCAGTTCAGAAGTGAGAAAAAGAGATGGAGAAATGGAAACATTTCTTTGTTGCAGAATGATGTGGACTGTGACACTGCTGCTGATACCAAAGCAGCATCAAGCTTGCTGTGTTTGTGATGAAACCCGGGCATGCACACAGAAAAACAAACACAAACATACAGGCACGCAAAACAAAACAAACAGAAAACAGCAACAAAAAAAAAAAAAAAAATTTAATTAAATAAAAACACAACCATAAATAAAACTAGCTAGATGTGGTGGATATGCAGAGGTTTCACAGAGCAGTTGCGCTGCATTACAAACACTGCAATGTGTTTGTAATGTGGGAAGAGTTGAGTGCCTTTTTCCTTCCACCAGAGGGTTGGACTGCTCTGATCTCTGTAAAATGGAGGTATACATGCCATCTAAATAGGATGCTAATAGGAAGCCACCAGAGCCAGCCCAAGGCTCTATTAAGCCCTGAAACAAAACAGCAGATCATTTGGAGTGCACATGTTGGGTAAATTCCATCATGTTCTCTCTGACTCAAATTTTTCTTGTTCATGATTGGCCACTTTTTTTTAAAGCTGTGCTAACGGTTACCAAAAGTGCCAAAAATAAAATTTTCCATATACCTGTTTATGCAATTTCCTTGTCAGTTGTCTACATGTCTATAAGCTGATCAAAGGTACATTTATTACTTTGATGAAAAACTGAGAACTTTAAAAGTAAAATGCTATGTTTTGTGGATGGTTGGAACACTAAAGCACTAGTATACAGTCCAGCTAAAGCTGTTGTCATTCTTGTTCATTTTGGTCTCATACAAACATAACATAAAGTCCTGCAGCCTAAGCTGAGGATCATATATAAACATGTAGCATAATTAATTGGAGAGAGAGCGGTTATTGAGCTTTTTTTTGGAAACTGCATACATCTGCAAAGGTTTGGTATCGACACAGAGCATATTAAAAATCACAGATCAGGCTTTTATAGCATTACAGAAGCCACCTCATGATCCATTTAGGGGTTTTATTTCCTGATTTATTCGGTATGACTCTAAGTTTGGTTTCAGAATTTGTTTATAAAACAAAACAAAAGAAAGGCATATTGTCATTCATTTTTATTCCAAACTTGAAGATAGCACACTTAATGTGTCACTATAAACAATCAGGAAGGATATTCCTTCTTACTTATCATTTATATTTAATTTTCCAAAATGGAATACATGACAACTGTAAACAAATATCTATTGATTGAAAGGATACAAAAATAGTATTTTACAGTATTAGAGAATAACATGGAAACAGATATTCTTAAACTTCCCAAAATTATTTGGTAAATGTTTTTTGAGTCTTAAAATGGTGTGTATAAAAAAAACAAAAAAAAACATCTCATCTAAGCTAGAAAGTTAGATATAATCTGTTCCCTACTTAGATATAAGTGATATAAATGATTGAATAGGCTTTAAACTATGTTGCTGGTGAGAGACCTTTCAATAAATGTTTTGTTTTTCTTAGTGTTTATACAAACTGTGCATTTACCAACATATATTTTAGAAAACTAAAGTTCACTTATACCTTGGGCTGGCCCTGGGAGACTATCTTTAGTGTAGACGTATACCATTAAAATAACTCTTAGGATTTGTACTTTTACCACCACAATTTTATTAATGCATTTATTTATTTTAACCTACTTTTGAGTTAACATTATCTGAACAGGTCTTTTCTTGTTATACAAACACTCCAGTCAGAGATATTTTTGTGTACTTTATAGTTTGTGAGTCTGTATTTGACTGTTTACAAAATATGTTCCACCCACTCTCCCTACAGCCAATAGTTGGAGAATTTTCAACTTTTCCAGTGAAAGCCACCAGCTTTGCTCCCTGCCCATCTGAATCCTCTTCCCTGGTCCCTCCCACCAGGGTAGCTTTACAACAAGCAAGGCATCTGTAGACATTTCATCTCGATATACCTCAAATCTGTATTGTAAAGGTTCATGTAGTGAAAAAATACAGTGTTTAGCAATGAATGTGGCATTAAAGTCACAGCAAAAATTTTTTTTTTATGTATCAACTTTCTTATACTGTAGTGTGTGGAATACAAGCAGCTATATTATTTCATGTGCTTGACTTTTTTTTATTGTTCGTAGATTTCCACTGTTTTCTTTTATCATGAAAGTGAGATACAGAGAGAATAACTCACATGGTATATTTGGATTTCTGCGATTCTATATAACTATAGAAAAACATGAATATTTTGGGGGGAATAATGAAACCAAAAAGGGAAAGTATACTGACACATGAAGTACTCATTTACTTTTGATTTTATTAGTTTTTGGGTTAATATTTGTTTGAATATTGCATCATATGTGTTCCACAGCAAAAGTCCATATTAAAAAAACAGAACCAAGCAAGATGACCTCTGTCATTAGGGGTGGGATGGTTTACAAATGCATTTTCAAAACCATTAAATATCATAGGAAAATCCATGCAATAGATTCATTACACACAAAGTGATATATTTCTGTTAAATTCAATGAGGCTCATCATTTGATAAAAACTCAGATTTTAGAACTTTATAGCTAACTAAAATGTATTTCTTAATAGGGTATTGTTATATAAAGGTGTACACATTTGTGTGGGAAAAAAAGTCATAGACACAGAAGGTTGCTGTTAAAGAAGCCAGGTTAATAACAAAGTGATGTATCGGAAAGTATACTAATGAAAGTGGAAGGAAAAACGTTTATGGAAAACCGACCTGGATAACTGTAGCATTCAGAGCAAAGCTCATTCAAGAGTTTTGGGGAGATTCAGAAGGTGAGAAAACAGACATATCCAGGACATGAACCCCAACTGTAGCATTTTCTCCGATAAGCCTTTCCAGGGGCAGGTTTTATTTGCAGGGAATGGAGAAGAAAGGATGGCCTGTTGCTCAGTGGTCCAAAGTCCTCTTTTCAAAAAAAAAAAAAAGACTGCATTTCATTTGGATCAAGGTGGAAGAAAGGAGAAGCACAGAATCCAAAGTGCTTGAGGCTCACTGTGAAGTTTCTACAATCAGTGATGATCTGGGACACCAGGTCAGTTCATAATCAGTACAGAAACATTTAAAATAATTCATCTTCCTTCTGCTGGTGTCTGTCTCCCGCAGACACTATTTGCAAGCTACATTCTGGATCAGTCTGCAGTCATAGTGTGTGTAATGAATCTATGTTAAACAGAAGCTCTACTTTTTAAACTGAATTTGTGAACTACATTTCATAATAACATTCTGATTTATTGAAACACATCTGTGTTCTATTTTTTTTGCATGGATTTTAATTGTATAAAATCATTAGGATGAAATGTATCATCAGCAAGGTGAAGGTAAAGGAGAGAAACGGGTAAAAAAACAACAGCTGCATTTGGTCATTTTT